ATTGCAGTGTAGTAGTGTGAAATGTTGTAAATTTTGTAAATTTCGCCATCATTCATTCTGTGAACAGAACAGAAATTCATTCAGTCAGCAACCGAAATACAGAAGACAGATGACCAGATGGTGAAACAACAGAGGTGAAAAAAGAGAAATTAAAGGTTATGTCAGAAACAGCTACAGCGTATGTGTCTTCAAGCAATGCAATCCAACCAGGCTAAGATCCTGTCTGTCAGTGGTAGTCAGAGGTCCTGCATCACAAAGTTTATGGTCAGGAAATTAAAGTTACAACCTCTCATAACAGAGACAATGAATTTGAACACGTTTGGAAATGACAATTTCACCAGGAAAAGATGTGATCTTGTGTCATTTCAAATTCACAGGAATGAACATGCCGATGAGGGTACATTTGTATATGCTCTTTCATATCGTAACATATGTTCTTCACTGAACAATGAAGTCAATACAGACAAGTATCCTCACCTTCAAGAACTACAGTTAGCGGACAGTAACAACAGAAGCAGTGACAGTGTTGACACAATGATTGGCTCAGACTTTTATAGGGACATAGTGAATGGTGAAGTGATCAGAGGTGATTTAGGACCAGTGGGACATGGTAGTAAATTAGGTTGGATTCTGTCGGGGCAAACTGAAGGATCAACAGTGAATGGCGATCTGATGTCACAGATCTCATCTTTGAAGAGCCAAGCTATGAAACAGTTTGTGATAGCAAATACGATGAACTCGTTGACCAGTTGAAGCAGTTCGGGGATGTAGCACCCATGGACATCTATGGATTTGCAGATGTACAGTAGGAACAGTTCTTATTCGACATTCATTTTGACAAAGGTCAGGACAGGTAAGAACATTCTCTTCCCAGGAAGGCAATGTAGACATTGAATCCAATTCCACATTCATCATGTGTCACGCTAGACTATTCCAGTTGATGTCACGACTGAAGTCTCGTCCAGATCTGTTAGCAGAATATGACCACATCATACACGAGCAAGTGAAAGCAGGCATCAAAGAAGCGGTCCCAGGTACTGAGTTGAAACGAGAAGATTCTAACTTCCTCCACATCATGGTGTTGTGGAGGAGGATCGACAAACAACAAAACTACGGAGAGTGTTTGATGGATCTGCAAAGGACAACGATGGAGTTTCCCTGAATGACAAGGTTTGAAACTGGACCAAATCTGATTCCTCACATATTCAACATTTTACTCAACTTCAGAACATACCAGGTTAGACTGACAGCTGACATTGAGAAGGCATTTCATGCTTGGTTGACACATTTCATCGGTTCCCAATTGCGCAGATCGATGCTCATACTGTTGATCACTGGATTGTCTGGTCCAGACTCGATATTTTACAGACCGCCGCCATATAGCTGGAATATTGCTGAGTGCGGCGTAAAACTCACTCACTCACACATTTCATCAAATATCAATAGACCGTGACGACAGAAAGAAGCTCAGGTTTTTGTGGTTTGGGGACTACAAGAACGTTTATAGTCCAGCAATAAAACAGTATCAGCTTTGTAGACTTGTGTTTTAGACTGACATATCTAGTCCAGCCATACTTAATAGCATCATTTAGCTACATTTGGATGGTTTCCAGACATCGAATGAAAGGACAGTGAACTTGCTCAAAGAGTAACTCTATGTGGATGATTTTCTGGCTGGTGTTAATGATCCAGATGAAGTATTAAAAATCTGCAAGGAGGCAGATCACATCATGAAGGAGGTAGGTTTCAGTTTCCGGAAATGGAGATCAAATGACCAGTCTGTACAACAGGAATTCAGTGTGTCAGAACATGTTGAAGGAAGTTGTGGAATACGGAAGGAAGTTGCCAGTCACAAACATATTTGACCATTGGGACTGTGTTCTCCATTTACAGTGCGGAATGAGGTAATCCTGCAGCAGCTTTGTAAAGCAAGAGTAACGTGGGATGAGGAACTTGAAGGGAAGCTGAGAACAAGGCATGATTCATTGTTTGATGACAAGGAGCTTCTGTCAAGTGTTCACATTCCACGCAGCTATGGATTTGGGAGACACAGTTGTCTCCAGACATCTATATGGGTTCTGTGATGTGTCTCAGAATTCATATGTATTGTATATCTGCGTACAGAATGTAGTGCCAATGAAGTGGATGTCGAGATTGTGGCTTCCAGAACAGTCTCGCCAATGAGGAAACAGTCCATACGTCTACATGGAACAGTGTGGCTTGTCCATCTGATGGACACAGTGAGCAAGTCAGACCATTGTTTCCAGATACGCAGACACTTCTATTGGACAGACTTATTCACATCCCTGTGCTGGATAGGGAACTGTAAACAGCGGAAACAGTATGTGAGGCACTGAGTAGTCCAGATTCGTCAACTGAGAAATAGAACTTCTGCCCTGGATCATTCAACATTGCAGATCTACCTTCACGCGGTTGTACACGGAAGCATCTCTCGAAGCATGGGGCATGGTGCAAATAAGCTGGATCGAGTCAGTTCAATTCTCATCATTCCGGGATCAGTTGCATGTCCCACAGAAGGAACCAAAGTACACAGTTCAAAATAAAGGAAAGGAGATGCTTCTGAGGGATGGGACCATAAGCTGTCAAAGGCGCATTAGCAATGCAGACATTACATTACATAAGACTCACAGGTTTCCAATCCTGTTACCAACCAACCACAGATTCACCACATTAATCATCGCTGATGTCCACAAGTGGACACTACACAATGGCGTGAGACAGACTCTGGACTCTGTGAGACAAATATTTTGGATCATCGGAGTAGAGCAGCTGTCAAGAAGACCATACAAAGGTGATATGCGTCCAAACGGTATGAAGGGAGACCCTACGAATCTCAACAGATGTCTGACCTTCCAGTGACAATCGACCATTCTCATATACCGGTGTGGACTATGTCGGTCCCATCATTCGCAGTGATCAACGAATGGCTTACATGTAGGTGTGCCTGTTTAGGTGCGCTTCAACCAGAGCGGTGCATTTAGCACCCCTGATTTTTCCGTAAAGTCATTCTTGGAGTCATTCAGACGGTTTACTAGTAGGCAAGGTTTGACTTACAAGTTGGTGTCAGACAATTCCAAGACCTTCAAGAGAGGCGCAGTGGACATAGCGACAATTGGCATGCCCTCGAAAACCCCAAATTGCCTGCTAAATCATCAGGTGACCTGGGAGTTTGTCGATGAAAGGACTCCCTGGTGGGGAGGTTTCTTGGAAAGGATGCTTCAGCTTGTGAAGAGGTGTGTGCGGAAGATTGGCAGGTCATCTGTTAACTTTTTGGAGTTCAGAACATTGCCTTCAGACTTGATCAATGGAAGAAGGATTGCAATCACGTCAAATGACAGGCATTGTGACATCATCAGCACATACAGAACTTTGACGAACCAGATGAAACATCATTTCAGATGACTCGCCAACTTCACAAATCTGCGCAAGTGGGAGTACCTACTACGACTCAGAGAGTACAATGTGCATCAAGTCAAGTGATTTACATCCATCAGTAGGGGTCATAATTTAAGATGAACAGTTCGCTGTTACTGTAAGCTAGACAAGATAGTTGAACTATTCAGTGGCCGAGATGAGAGGTGTCGTGCAGCAAACATTCAAGTACTTTCGACCATCGGTTCAAAGAAACCAACATGTGTTCACAGATCAATTGAGCAGTTGGTGCCCCTGGAAGCGCAAGGAGAATGACATTTCAATAATTATCAGGGTAACAAGGCTGCAGTTCAGCATTCATTGTGTTACTGTCTTTCTTATGAACATTTATTGATGATTATCATTCAGTATTACGTACATGTTTATATTCATAGGACATTATCAGTTAATAGACTCTTTGGTTACCAGGCTGTAACGAACCCCTGCGGTGTCAAGATCGATAATCTTGAATTGTTTCGTTTTATTTGCATTTTCGCTTTGTAAAAACATTCCTGTCTTTTTCAAGTAACAGTACTTAAACCATTTTAATAACAGCGTGGTTTGGTTGTTTATCATACCATATACCCTGGTGGATGATTATGATGCCAATCAACTGATTGACTCGATGTTTTACAGGCTCAAGGAATATAGATCCAATGTTGCTGATTGTTGTTTTAAACAACACAAATAATTCTTTCCAGTTGTAATTTTGAGAGATCTTTGGGTAATTTTCCTACGTATTTATCATTGTTTTCCTCAGTGCAATGATGGCAATGATATAAACTTGCAGACAGATCCTTCTTGAAATACTGATTCAAATTGAAAATATCCAACAGACCTAAAACAATGCAGTCTTCATTATGCTTTAACTATACCCTTGTATTAGACCATAATTAACGTATCGCCACCTGTCAATCAAACAAATGACATGACCAATGAGAAACGTCAAATTATTCAATCCGCATCGCGTTGCCGTCAGCTGACAGCTGACCACCATTTTGTCCGACATCAGTGGTCTGGCGGACTTTTCAAAAATAATTCGACGTTTACAGTCAACGTTTTGATCATGGTGAAAAGGTGTAGCTGGGGTACCTGCAACTCGGACTCGCGGTACCCGGAACGACTTGCTGGTGGTATCACCTTTATTCCATTTCCCAAGCCTGCCAGAAATTTTGACAAATGTCAACGATGGATACGTTTGTGTGGTCGCCCCAAGTATCAACTGAACATGGACATACTTCGTGACCACAGCCGAGGAAAACATTTCTTCGTATGTACAAAGGTATGAAAACTAAAACTGAATAACATCTTAACCAGTGTTGAAGTTAATGTAAATTTAGAAATCTTTGACTTGGTAGACTTTCAGTGCTTTTTATATAACCAGTTCACACCGATTTTCACTGATTAAGTGACTAACGTTTCACCGCGTGGTATGTCAAGGACAGACGATGTCTGTGTTTGAGCATACGATTTCAGATACGTCCATGTTGTTTTTCGTCGTTTCTATCGACTAATAAATGCGAGCTTATTTACAGCACTTTCTTGATGGAAAACCCTCGAAGACATTTCCGGACCCTGCGTCTGCACTACCTCATGAACAAAATGAAAATCCAAAGACAGTAAGACAACGACCCAAACCACGCTTGCCATTTATGGGCGACAGAAAAAGGAAAGTTCTTCTTGAAACACACAGGTAAAACATTGTTGCCTTTATACTTACTGCTCACAAAACACAACAAAAACATTGAAACATAATAATAAAACAAATCCTTGTTTATTCCGAGAGTATCACAGAAAGTTAGTAAAGGTAATGTCACACATTTAGATCCTTTGTAGTTACAAAAAGACAGAAGTATCACATGCATCACAAGATCACAATCATACTCAAGTTCTATTCATATAAGCCTGATGAAGGGACTGATATCACCTGCAACAGGTGCATATTGACATAAAAATCTAATTGCTCCAGACAAAAGTGTTTCACCCAGGTCCCGTAATATTGAGTGATAAGACACAGTAACTCTGAAGGATCCAAAGTATTCATTACAATCCATCATAAATATTAATGCATCAACATGGACATTTGCTGTAACCACTGAGATCAGCCATGACAGTGGTTCTTTTAAATATGTTTAAATAGCCCATTATTTTACATATTTATAGATGTTCTTTTTTACATGGCATGGCCAGACAAAGCCATTAGTCCCCTATCCAGAGATTGCTAATATTTCATACAGAAACGATGACTTCTCAAATATTGAGATAATGTATAAATCAGATGGTCCAATATCCACATACTAGTCCATTCATACTTGTCATTTCTCTGACGGGCACAGTGTTTCAGAATATATTCTTACTCCTTCTTCAGCTGGGAGACGAATAAAACTAGGAAGCAGATGGCAATATTACATGTGAAAGAACAACAGTCATATGATGTCAACTGTGGGCATTTAACAAGTGAAGCCAAAAGTTATTTATCGCTCAATTGTAATAGCAATAAACACATATATTAGAAAAGTTAATCCAGGAATAAATAGTCCTGATGGGTAATCAAGAAGTTATAGGAAATAGACAAAGATGGTAACCATTTAAAGGCTGTAATACATTTGAGGTTCAGGTATAAGATAATTTGGTCTTCATCTTCTTTTTCAGATCTAATCATGATACAGATATTTCTGATTCACCAAATCAGATGGATATGGAAGCAGGAATCTGATATTCTTGTCCAACAAAGTGACACCATGGGTAATTTGTTATGAAGTTATGTTTCCCTGCAAAGTATGGTTTGAAGTGATTGACATATGTTTGTGACAGAGTTTCAAGCAGAGTCCTGAAGGTATTCCTATCTGGATATATCCGTTCAATGTTAAAGTCTTGTCTGGTGTAGGTTACACAGTCACAAAATGGTGCCCCAGTTACAAGTAGTTGGCCCTGTACCTGATACCAATGCCTATCACCTCTCTTCAAGTTGTAATATTTTCATTCTTTTTCCAAAAAGAAACCAGTCATACAGGAGGCTTCATTAATGGTCAAGTCCCTTACAGCATAAGGACACTTAATTTCCACAATACCAGAAACAGAAGTGTCACACACTATAGCATCAGGGATGGCTCCTATAAATGGAATAGATGGGTTTACAACAAAGCCAATGTCATGAAGATGATTTTGAGTTTTTTTCATGTACATTTGTTTAGCTATTTTCTCATTAGAATTCCCATAAGTTGTTGGATTGGAGGAAAATTACTCTTTGTCAAAGGTGTTTCTGATAAATGTGTCATTGATTTGTTTTTTGCGAGTCATAAGCAGACCAAAGTTTGAAGCAGTAATTAGCCCTTTCCTTGCTTTGTACCACAAATCAGACTTGCTTTGAGATCTTGTATTTTTTTCTAAATTCTGGGACTCGTCAACTGAAAGTTCTAAATCTTTCCACTGATGTTTTAAAGTTGCAATTGAATCCAGTTCAGGCAAGTTGTCATCTTTTGGAAATGTGACATCTCCGCACCTGTCCTCCATCTTTGGAACCACTATTGGTCTAATTAAGGGTGCCTGTAAAGAGAATAAGCCAGTTTATTCACACTTAGTTTTATACAAGGGAGGTAATAAGGCTGTTTTTCTTCTTAAATCTCAAATTGATACAAGTATGTTGTGGGTGCTATGTGCTCATTCTTAACTTATTCTTTTGTGTGCAAAGCATTTTTTAAACATTACAACAAGTCAGATTGATAATAGGTAAGTCTGTTTCAGGCCTAATTTTGAGTTTGGTGCCCTAAACTAGCCAGATCATTTCTTCTCTGTAAAATGTATTATTGCTTGAAACAGTTGTAATTGCTTTTGCAGGTCTTCTGCCACTGGATATGCTGGCTCTAGCTGCAGAGAACAAGCAACTCAAAGAAGATATGGCCAAACTGATCCTAGAAAAGGAGGAGCTTATGGGTGCGAAAAAAGATTACAAGTATTACACAGGATTTCCCTACGAACAGTTTCAGAAAATATTTAAATTTGTTGTCCCTGGCAATGCTGATGATGAACCTTTTCAATTTACCAGAACAGTTAGGAGTTTGAAGTGTATGGGTCTTGAAGACCAGCTTTTGCTTGTTCTGATTAAACTTAGACAGAATTTTGATTTTAAACATCTCTCAAAGTTGTTTCTGATATCACCCCAAGATTGCAGTACTGCGTTTTCAAATTGGATAAATTACTTATTTTACAGGTTTGGATCTGTGTCAATTTGGCCTCACCGTGATGTTTTGCAGCAACATATGCCTTCAAAATTTCGCCAGGAATTTCCAAACACTTTCAGTATCATTGATGGAACAGAAATAAAAATTCAGAGACCCTCTTCACTGACAAGGCAAAGTCAAGCATATTCAGATTACAAATCAAGTACTACCCTGAAAGGTCTCATTGGTGTGGACTCAAGAGGTTCAATTACATTCATATCAATGCTGTTTTCTGGGGCGATATCAGACAAATAATTAACTGAAAAAAGTGGTTATCTGTCCCTCCTCAGAGAAATGGTTAAGTGTGGGAAACTTAAAGTGGGAGATGGTGTGATGGCAGACAAGGGCTTTAATATTGAAAAGGAAATAAGGGCCACTGGATTACGCCTCAACATTCCCCCTTTTGCACCAGGTATAGGTCAGATGTGTGTGTCTGGCAGAAACAGTGAAAATTGCAACACACAGAGTGGTGGTCGAAAATGCCATTGGAAGGGTAAAAAAATTCAAAATTGTCGGTAAAAAATTGCATTTAAGTTTGTTTTCCTCAGTGAATCAAATTTGGTTTGTGTGCTGTTTCTTGACCAATTTTATGCCATATTTGATTCAAGATAAAGATTAATTACTTGATGTCCAAGAGTTGATCCAACAACCTGAGGACCTATTGGTGTGTCAACTGTCTGACTGGTGCTGGTACATGTATCTGTCAGGTATGAAATAGGGAATCTCTTCATACTGTGCAGCAGAGACATGTTTGACTCCTGTATTTGAATTTTCCTGCAAGTACAAAAAGTATTAGTCACAAATATTGTATTTGTGTATATTAAAAACTTGCAATGACAATGAATATTTTGTACGTGCTCTTGTTCCTTGTTCACTTATCTGAACTGTAACATTTATGCAAACAACTGCTCAATAGTCATCTGATATTGCTTTCTAAACTGTGATGAGTATTTTCTACCTTAGAAATATCTGATGATCATGGAGTAAAAATGTCATATAGGTAATGCTTGCATTATGATACATCATTTTCATAAAACAAGTTCAGAATCTGAAATAAAACTTTAAGTATATAATAACATCACCTGTTGTCATTGAATGTGGCCATCACAGGTCTCCTTTTCCTATTGAGATTTCCAGGCCTGGCAATAATTATCTGTGACACTGCTTCAGATTCAATCTTTGGTCCCCTTGGTTTATCCAACTGCTGAGGCAGGCCAGTGGAAGAGGGCTGTGAAGGAATGGCTTGATAGCCTGATATCTTCCAGCCTTCCAGTATCAGGACAAGTGCCAGTACATGGGAACACTTTCCACTTGCACTGAAGAGAATAGGGTGAATAATGTTTTTACAGAACTGTGATTGACAGCTGGAATATATAATATATAATATAGAAAATACATTTACATGGTTTTATTCCCGCAATGCCTAACAACAGATATTACATTTACCTCTTACATTTATTACAGAATCTGTTTCTTTCATGATGATAGAAATTTAACGTAATTATATGGGATAACATGGGTTTCATTGTCAACAACTGAAACGGCCAGCACACAGACGTGTATCATTGATTTGATATCTATATATGCCGCTCATAAAACCCCAACAGATTTATGCCATAAATTGGAAAGGCACCCGAAGTTATTTCGTGTACTACTCACCCACATTTGCAGCTACAATGGGCGTCAGTGAACGATTTGTGAATTTTGTCAAGGGACAAGTTGATTACATGAGGAGCTTCGGTTTTCCGTTGACTTCTATAAATCCTCCCGCAAATCGACACGATATTATCACAACATGAATGGAAAGTAACGGAATGAAGGTATGAGGCCGAACTAAAAGCCACTCCACGTTGTTTTTGCCGCAAAGTAGGTTCATAAGGCAAATATTTCGGGCCAATATCATCGGGAATGTCTCTAAACGATATCACGACTGCCATTTTGACAGTTGGTTTTGACAGCGATGTTGTCGGACCTTTTGAGAGTTATCTCCCTTTCTTTTCGGGGCGTGGTTAACTCTCCACTGGCGATCCGTTAATTGTTGTTGGGTTTGAATTTGGGCCAGGAATCGTATGGCCATTCTGAGTGTCCATTTGAGAAGTGAAACTGATGTGACAAAATAGACAATCATAAATCAACATTAAGTTTAAGTTCATTGTTCTACCGGAATTAATGTCGTTAGATAAGGACAAACTTGGTGTGGATGAACAACAACTTCATTCAGGTGATGCGACGTTTCGATACCGCTTTTTGTATCTTTGTCCATCAGGTATAACGATGCAAGAATCTTTATCGATACGTCGCATCACCCGAATAAAGATTTCATCCATAGAGTTTATCCTTATATGACTCTCCAACTTCTAATAATGCCACTCAAAGAAGACGGAATCACGTTGGTCCTTCGCCTCTTAAGAAGCAACATTTTCTTATGATTCCTCCATCCCGGAAGAAAGCCAATAAGCTATCATTACCTCGTAAGTTAACGCATTTCATTATCTACTTGTAAGCAAACCTAAGAAAAACATAATAATGAGAATTAAACCTACAGATCTGCAGAATGCGTTGTCGATAACTAAAGCAGGGGTGGTTGGTCGTTTTACAGCCCATGCCAGACCCATACCAGGACCCTAACCAACTGAATTGAAATGGCTTCTTCTATAGCACGAGGAACGCCTTGGTCCTCCGAACAATGAGTTAGTGAGTGAGCATAGTGTTTAGTAATATTCCAGCAAGTTTGGAATGGAACATAATGGGCTCCTAAAATAGTGATCTCGTAGGGACTAGAAACTAAGTCTTCGAGCCTCCCATGATCTCACTGATGTTAAAGTAGTGGGGTATTTGTAAGCACCTTACATTATGCAGAAAGAGAAATCCGTTGTGAAGTCTTTACGTCACGTGTTATATTAGGCTCTCAAGCTTTTGTTTTTATCTCGATATCTTCCTTTAAGCATGGTCCTCAGTGCTGCCTTAGGGCGTGACATCACACTGACGCAAACGTTCAAAATAATCTGCCCTCGAATCTTCTGTCCATACACTGAGAGCATCATCCTTTATAAAGGACATTAGGTTACACTTTTTGAGGCCGTAATAGTATTCGTATTTCTTGCACGTGAATGCCGTTTCTTGTATGCAGTATTGCTCACACGCTGATACCGGGCTGATGTTCCAGAAGGTGATGTTGTTGAGTCCCAGACCATGTATCCTTGAATTCTTGTGAAGGAATTGGAATACGTCGAGCAGTCTGCAACAGAATTAATATACGATGTGCAACCATAACGTGTAAGACAGCCGTTCGCTTTAGTGCTAAAGGTACTGTCAGGCCTCTGTTTGGGGGAATTATCAAATGGGAGCGAGCCTCGAAATAGTAAAGGAGAGAGTTGTGAGTTCCTTTGGTTTTATTCAAGCACCTGTGTTTAACATAATATTAAAAATACATAAATTCATACGTAATGACATACAGTAATGTGCGCCTATGGCTTATCTGACGTTAGTAACTGTCCATCATGATCATCAACATTATTTTTGTATGTTTAAAGACACCATACGGTATGGTTGTCGTTTTCGTGAGTCTCATCTTTATTATGCACATTTAGAATTGGTGTTCAGCAACCCATGCTTGTCGTAAGAGGCGACTAACGGGACTGGTTGGTGATGGTCGCTGACTTGGTTGACACATGTCATCGTATCCCAGTTGCGTAGTTCGATGCTAATGCTGTTGATCACTGGATTGTCTGGTCCAGACTCGATTATTTACAGACCGCCGCCATGTGGCTGGAATGTTGCTGAGTGAGGTATTAAACAACAAACAAACTAAATCAATGTGGTTGTTCAGCGGTTAATCTTGTTCTCCAGTATTTGCTGAATTATAACGTTCATTGCTGTGCAACCGTATCCTTATTGTGCATATTACGCTTCACGTGTATGACGTGTATGTTTTATTTAGCAGTGACATTTGAAACGTGAATCTCCCATATGCAGCAGCTGGCGATGATGTGTCATTTCTGTCAAACACTGACATCTATCGAACATATGTATATTCCTTAAAATTCTTATTCTTTCTTATCATTATCAGCGTCATTTATTTATATTGATTTCTTGTGATTATCAGCGTCAATTATTTATATTGATTTCTTATGATTATCAGCGTCATTTATTTATATTGATAGCAATAGTAAATAGGTTCTGACTTCTAGTTCAGAACGTTTCCGATGTGGAGAATGTTACCGACTTTACTTCGCTTCCTTTCGATTGCGCACAATATGAATTCTGTGAATCGTTGGGGATGTTCTCTCAAGGACCCGCGAGTCCTAAGGCATGCAAGGAAACGCCTTTTTGTCGACAAGGCATATTACGCATGAATCTCCCAAAATACATTCGTTGGAATCCTCCCTACTCCCCTGCAGCGCCTGACCAGGTTAAGCCAACGTAGGTGGCTTATGACGTTGACACATATGTCTCCTATCATGTCCCAGACGTCATGAATCAGGGGAAGTCAGGACTCATTGCTGACCATAGTATTTTATGGACTTTGTGCTGCTGGGTGTGACCAATGTTTTAACATGGTGAGCACTGGCGTGGTCGTTCTAAAAGACAGAACGTTGACCAATACGCCTTCAGTTGGGACAAGAAAATGTGCCAGTATTTGGTCAGCGTGGTACTTTCAAGTGACTCTTTCTTGTGACCAGCGACAGTAACCCAGTTTTGACGATGTGTCCTAAATGCTGGGTTTGTTCAATAATCTGCTAATCACTGTGAAGTATTGATCATATTTGCCACAGCACGTTCATTTCTAATGTTCTACTTCTTTTGAATTTACAAAGCCAGTTTCTGTAGTTCTTTTCAATAGTAAAATTTGGGATTGAAAATACGTATAGTAAATTTATATATAAATCATGTCCATTTTACTACCTGGTGTCGTTGTGGTTGTTGTTGTGGTGGGAGTGGTCGTTGTTGTGGGAGTTGTTGTCGGAGTCGTTGTCGGAATTGTTGTCATCGGAGGTGTAAGTGTTGTTGTTGGTGTATATAATATACCTCCTCTTTTGAGGATATGTTTTCTGCGTCTGTGTTACATCCATTCTTCTGTCTCATAGTCGATGGGCATTGCTTAGGTTATTATCAAGAAGACAGGATCACTCTCAATTCTGACCCCCTCCTGAATCACACACCACATCCGAGTAAGATTTACCAGTGGACCTACTGTCGTTGGCCTGCCTGGGAGTACATGGACTGTTACTCAACTCTCGCCTCGTCTTTCCCCTACCTTTTCCCCTACTTTTGGACCTACACTTTCTCTAATCTGTCTCTGTAGGCACAGTAAAAGCATCGTCACTCGTATCCAAAAGGTTATGAATTTCTTTAAGGCACTGCGAATCAGAACCAGAAAGACTTGCAGCTACTGCTGCAATGACATCCACTGTGGAAGAGGAACTGGGCTTTGGTTCAGCCACGTTCACATTCTCACCTTCTTTCTCCTTCTCCCTTTCCTCATCTACCTTCTCCATTTCCTCATCTACCTGCTTGCACATGTAATCATTACATACTGGTTCATTATCTTTGTGCCAAATATTCTCTGAATCATCACCTTCACCTATACCTTCTCAACCATTCTCACTCACCTCCTCTGACAGATTGTCTCCTTCAGACCTCCTCTTTTTCTCCTCTCTGATACTCTGCTGCATTACACGGTTAAAGAACTCGTATGGCTGTGCCTAACAATTGTTCCTCATGTGACCTTTAATTCCACATCGAAGACACATGGGAGATCTTCCCAAAATGGCAAGCAACATGGTCATTCCATCTCCTAATCTCACTATGTGAGGAACATCATCAATCACACCTTGATCCAGGACCATACGAACAGTTCTCACTCCAGTACTTACCGTTGCCTTTCCAGAA